GGGGAGGGAAGGAGGGGACTCTCAGATTTAACCTTCTGACCAGGGAACAATAGGACATGGGCAAGAAAAAAAGGAAGACTCTGTGCGGTTGCTAATATGTGTGTGTGAGTCTGTGTGTGTCTTTGCTAAATTGAGAGTGTCAACAAATCAGCTGGGGATCACACCTCTGTCTGCAGGCACTTCTGTGTGTGTTGCTTTTTTAGATTATGTGTTCAGAAGGACAGCTTCCATCAGCCCCTTCTCTCTGCCACTATTTGATTTTATCTTGATTTCATTGGCACATACACGATGCCTGAAGGCAGCAGTCACGCCTCACTTCCTGTCTCTCCTGCGCTTTCCCCCCTCGTGCTCATTCGTCAAATCCGTCACCTTAATTGGCCTTCTAAGTTACTTGTGGTGTTCTGTGGCTTACAAACACAGACAGACTGAAAACACATTTTTGCCCTGCAGAGTTTTCTTCTGCCTCACTGCAGTAGTAAAGGAATTCAAGTATGTGCATTGATCAGAAGCTGTAAATAACCACTCTAAAGAGTATTAATGAGACCCCAGGGGACCTAATCCTGATCTGTTGAACTCCAACTGACCTCTTTTGCTCTTCTCTCTCTGTCTCTGCAGAGCAGTCACTCTTGGAGGTCAAGCAGCAGCAGGTGAGCAGTGAGGAGCCCTCGGTCGAAGTCTCCAGCCCATCAGCAGTTGTGGCCATGCCCACTCCACCCAAAAGGGAGCACAGTGTCCTTTCCATTCTGCGTGGTACCAACAGCACGTCCTCACCAAGCAAACGGGAGCCCAGTAGACCTCTGCCCACCCGCCCAAACTACACAGACAGCCCAGAGCGTCCACTCTATCCCCGTGCCCTCTACCCAGCTCCCAGCTTCAGGCCTCACATGTCCGAAGAATTCCTCAGTCATAAGCCCGGTCAGCTCTGTTACCCTGCAACCCGTTCCCCTGGAAATCAGTCTTCTGCTACACCCAGCCCGTCAGCCAGGAGCAGCCCAGAAAGCAGCCCTCAGGGAAGTCCCTCAGGTGCGGTGGCATCTCAGGCATCTTTCTACCCCACTGGACTGGGCTCCTACACCAGCTATTCCTCACACTCGGCCCCACCTTCATCTTCCTTTTACCCTCCAGGTGCACCCTACTCACGTTACCTCCTGCCCCATCCCTACCCTCTGCCAGGTGGTGGTGTTCCCACATTGGGAGGTATCTTTCCCAGGATGTACCCACTGTACAGCGGCCTCCTGCCCACACACGTGCCCCTCCTGCCCTCTGACCCAGCAACAAGACGCTTCCTGATGCCTGAACCCGTCCACCCGTCGTCCATTTCTGCCCATAGAGACTTCCTCCTCCCAGGGCCCACCAGTGCCTTCACAGCCGCAACATCATTGAAGGACAAAGTAGGGCCTCACCACCCTTACCCAGGACACCATCACCTACATGAGCCAGCCCACGCCCCTTCCAGCGGCTCCCCAACAGCAGGCACAGCTCCACCCAGTGAGAGGATGCCAACCAAGCCTACCTCTGCTCTGCTGGGCAACACCAATGAGCACTGTGCAGATGAGGAGGCCATCAACTTAAGCAAAGTCAAGCGAGGAATAGGCTCGGCCGGGTACAAAGCACTGCCGTATCCACTGAAGAAGCAGAACGGCAAAATCAAGTACGAGTGCAACGTCTGCAACAAGACATTTGGGCAGCTGTCAAACCTAAAGGTGAGGCTCCAGACACCACCAAAGTCCTTCCCTGTCTAATTCTCAAGAACATGTCTGGTTTTACTCAGTTATGGCCCTATTATCATTCCATTTCTGTGGACTTGAGTGTAATTATAAGGCTGCAGAGCAGGTTGTACTGTAGCACGCCTGGACACCACAGTCACGCTAGAAAGATAGTTTGATGGTCAAACCAGCAGATAATAAAGTTTGTTTTGGGTTAGGGTTAGCCTTGCTGAAGATGTTCACAGTAATTAGTCTGTGTTTAAAATATCTAATTGTCTCCGTGGTGTTTCCTTTCTCCATCACACAGGTTCATCTCCGTGTCCACAGTGGGGAGAGACCTTTCAAATGTCAGACCTGTAACAAAGGCTTCACTCAGCTTGCTCACCTGCAGAAACACTACTTGGTTCACACCGGGGAGAAACCACATGAGTGTCAGGTGAGAAAACAAACTCAGATTTTAACACCCTTTCCTTCCTGGTCTACATCTTGATTGAGTGAATGGATCATTTAAATACTGACTTTCTTCCTGGTCCTTCTCTAGGTTTGTCACAAGCGCTTTAGCAGCACCAGCAACCTGAAAACTCACCTTCGCCTCCACTCAGGGGAGAAGCCCTACCACTGCAAACTCTGCCCCGCCAAGTTCACGCAGTTCGTCCATCTTAAGCTGCACAAGCGCCTGCACTCCAGGGACCGTCCCCACAAATGTCCTCACTGCCACCGCCACTACATCCACCTGTGCAGCCTGCGACTCCACCTGAAGGGATACTGTCTAGCCGCCGGTACCAGCACCGGCAGTCCCACCATCTCCACTCAGGCAGCTTTGGAGGAGGTGCACCGCGCCAATGAGGAGATCGAGCGATTTGACGTCAGCGAGCACGCCGAGCGTCTGGAGCAGCTGCAGGGAGGTGTAGAGATGGAGGCCATCTTAGAGAAGCAGGTCCTTGGGCTGCTCTGGAGCGAGGCCGACATCAAGTCACCCCACTTTCACCCACGCCGCAAAGGCGATGAACTTCTGTCGCCAGGTTATGGCACATACGAGTCATCCAACGAGACGTCGGTCATCAAGATGCGGCACAGCAGCCCCATCCTGCCCATGAATGTCACAGTCAAACAGGAGTCGGAAGATCACGCTTAACAGTCTTTGTTGTCAAAGATGGGCGGAGTCAAGACTGCATGGCTGTTAGTGGACTGAGTTGCCTGGTGCAACAGCTGTAAATAGATAATTTTCCACCTGGTGGTCATCAGGAGTGACATCATGACCACACCGGGTTCTCAACCTATCAGGGACTCACGTACTCAGGGCTACGACAGACACTGTCCCATGACTACTTAACAGTTTTGTTATATTTAGAGACAATCATCTACCCAGGACTTTATTGTAGTTAATATAATGCTATTATTATTATTATTGTTGTTGTTGTTGTTGTTGTTGTTGTCCTTGTATTTTATTTGGTCTTTATTTTCAAGTGTCTTGTTTTTTTTGTGATTAATTAGTTGTTATATATCTTTCTTAATTTATTCGAGTTACTTTTGTTGTCTTTAAAAAGCAATAAGTGGACTTCGTGGTTACACTGACAGGGTGATGTGTAAAGAAAGGAAAAACTTTGTGTTGGTGTTGATGTTTTAGTTTCACTCTGTGGCCATTTCTCTGTAGATACTCAGTGTCTTTATCACCTTTATCTGTCCTGGGTCCTCTGACCTGTACCACCAGAGGAGTCCACTCTTCAGGGTTCTAATCTATTTAATTTTTTTATAAAACCAATGTATCAGGTTGAAAAGAGTTAAAAGGACTTGCCAAAGCATGGCACATGAACTTTGTAATTTACAAAGGAGAGCTTTATTTCGGCCCCGCCGGAGAACGTCCTGTGTAGTGTGACTGTGTCATTTCTGATGCCTACTTAATTATATAGAAATATAAAAAAAGGGCATTTTCTTTGTATATTTTTCACAATGGTTACCTCAGGGTGTGTGTGAGACGTAGTGAATGTGTTTGTTTGAGGTGAGGGACGTTTGAAGGTGGGAGCTTTCTATTTATTTTAGTTTTTCTTTGCTACTTGAAGAAGGAAAAAAAAAGAAGAAACCAAACTGAAGTGGAGTGCAGCTCTTCCTACGGTCCAAAGAAGCCGCGCCGCCAGCTCAACATGTAGCACATAACGGACAAAGGAGGCTCCGCCCCCTCCTCGTCTTTGTCCCTACAACACTGTCGACACCCAACAGGGGGAGTGACCGCTCACAGATCGTGGAGGGGGGGATTCACTCCAGACGCTAGAAACCAAAGTTGGTGTGGCTTTAAAAGGAAAATGAAAAGAAGGGAAGGAAGGACTTGAGGAATCATTAATGCTGAAGAAGGGAAGATGAACTGTGTATGTAAATGATGAAGTCTTCGCTCTTTAACTGCGGTCACTTGTTTTGTTCTTTTAGACGTTCTTGTTCTTTATTTGTTAATATTTCAGCTGTGGCCCCTCCTACCTGTCCGTTTAATGAACTGGTAAAAACACCAAAGCACCTCGGCCCTCTTTGATGCACTGGCCCCTCGTCCTCCTCTCTCTCCTCCTCCTCCTCTTCCTCCTCTTACTTTATAACCTCAGTGCAGATGTTTGCAGCGTTCGCACTGAGGACGGTATCACTGAAACCCACGGCATTAAGACTCACCTTAATGTTACTACAGCAGCTGCTGCACTTGTTCCTTCACCTGGACTCTGCAGCCCTCTCTGTCTTCCTCTCTGTCTTCCTCTCTGTCTTTCTTTCTTTTTAATTGTCCAATGTTTGACCAAAGCATCTTTACGTCTCTCTCTTACTGACCAGAGCTTTAACTCCCTTAAAGAACTGTCTCTGTTTACATTCTGGTTTACATTGTTATTTATGTGCAAAAATGTCAAAGTGTAAATTATGATATAAATGTTCACTGCTCTAATCTGAAACCCTGACTCTGTGTTTTGTTCAGTTTAGTTTGGTACGGAGCTCATGTTACAACATCAACATCTCACACACAAACATTCAAGAAAGGTACATCTAAACTTTGTTTACAATTGTCCTGCATTGTTTTCACCTGGTTATTAACATTAATAACCATAATAATAATAATTGTAATAATAATAATCCATTTTATTACACACCTTCAGACCACAGCAGAAACCTAACAGTTTATCGTCTTATTAAAAGGCTTAAATTTCTCATTCTGAGATCGTCATCAAACTTGTTGTCACCTATGGCGGTTGTTACTTTGCCACAAGCAGGTAAAACATGTTTGTGCCAATGCTTATCAGTAACACAGGTCTGAATGACAGCCACTGCAGAGTCATATACAGCACAGTACCACGGTGTCTGTTTGAACGTAAAACGACTGGTGTGACATCAGAAGATCTAAGAAGGATGTTTCTGTAGCTACGCATACGTACATTAAACCAGTGAAGTAATTGACAACATCTGTGTGGTGTGTAGTGGTGGACACAGTGGTGATTGGGACTGCAGTGCATCAAAGCCAGAGAAGGCCCAGACAGTCACATCATCATCTACACTTCAAATCCCGGCCCCTCACTCCTGCTCCAACCACTGTCCCCGGCTGTAAACCCAGCTCTTTGGTGGACGGAGACTCATGAATCTTTATGTCCACTTCGGTGTGGTGTCAGGCTTAAAGACTACAGCAGGAAATGGGATCACAGCTCCCCGTGTCCTGTGGGCTGGAGCCACTGTTGGCCGAGACTGGACTGAGAGCTTTGACGACGAAAAAAAAAAATGTATGTTTGGTGATCATGGTTATCAAGAGTGACATCCAATCAAATCATAGCGCTGAGGACTGTAACATGCATGTGTCCAACAGCTGACAGAGCAGAATGATCAAGATCAGGGGCCCTAAAATATTGTTTTTATGACCATTCCTACAAACACCCACAACACCATCTCATCATCTTTGGGTCAATCCCAGAGGTCATTGGCTCAGTACACTGTTATACCACAGCCATATCAAAAACTAACAACCACATCAGCCCAAACTCTCACACTCACACCTATTGTCAATTTACAGTAACAGTTACCAGAATCTGAAAGTTTTTGGACTAAAGAAAAACCTGAAGAAAAACCCGGACTTAAACCAATGACGTTCTTACTGTAAGACAAGCACAATAACCACAGTTCTAGCTGTTATTCTTAGATGGAAAATTAAATATTTCTACCTTAGAATATCCCAAATACTACCAGGGAATGTCCCTGCTAATGGACGTCACTCTGTACACCTTTCATTCCCTAATCAAACCACCTACCTAGAGCAGATTTACTCACATTTTCCATCAAGTTAAATGTGCTGTTCAGGTGTGAACTAATCTCACATATTCATTTGTTATTTTTCAGTGAGTCCATTTTTCATTGCTGGTCACACCAAAAGCCACAACACTGTCATATTTAAAACAACAACAAAAATACAAATACAAAATCTCAGTTTGACATAATGTAAATAAATACTAATTTAAATCATTAAAAAAAAACAATTTTAATCCCTGCAAAGACTCAAAAACCAATATATCAGGAGGAGAGTTAATGTCCTCCTGCTCTTCTGTCTGTCTCTCCTGGGGTAATTAGTTCCATCAGCCTCACCTGTGTCCTGTGGTTCTCTGGTAATCAGCCTCACTGGTGTGACACCAGTGAGGCTGATTAGAGTCTGGGTATAAATACCTCTCTCCCTCACTCAGTCTTTGTTGGGTTTTTGTGTCATTGGGGGGTGTTGTGTTGCTGCTGCTGCTGCTGCTGCTGCTGCTGCTGCTGCTGCTGTTGTGATTTTGCTGTTGTTACTGTAGAGCTGTTATCCACTGATTCTTGTGTGTTTCTCTGTGTTATCTGCTCCTGCCTGGTCGTGTCTCTGTTGTTCATTACTAAGAATTCGGTTTGAGTGTGTTGTGTAGTTTGTGATCAAACTACACCTGATCCTTGTTCTCCTGAGTGCTGCAGCAGGAACACGAAGGGTCACGGTGAATCAATGATGTCAGGAATTCCAAAATGAACTCACTAGTACAAAGGATCACTGTGCGTACTTCAGTGTACTAACATCCTCTCGGCGCATCATAGGCGTAGACACTGACCAAACCATACACACCTTTCTCATTTTCTGCTCGGTCACAAATACAGGGGGCCTTCAGTTTATGACATCCTCGACTTATGACCTTATATGGTTATGTTGTCGTTATGTCCCTAAATCTATCATCAAAGTCATGTTCCGTCATTTAATACGATGTGTTGTGTGAAACTTTGCATGGGAGCTAGTTGGCTAGTGAAATGGATGATTTTGACGCCTCGTGAAACTTTACTTGCGGTTTTACATCATTGTGCAACATTCACATTCATTTGTGTTGATTTTTCTTTTCTTTTTTTTTCTTTTTTTTTACTTTTTTTCCTTTTATGATGCTACCACTGTGTTAGCGTAGGTGAGCAACATAGGTACTTACACACTGGAATCTGAATTGCAACTTGTGGCAAAAATCGAGTCACGTCGCACAGTTGGAACGGAATTTCCTGGAGGATTCTTGTTTGGTTTTGAGTCTTTTTTGTATATATCTAAATCTGTAAAATAACTTAGAGTACATAAAACCAAATTAAGTACAAAGTACTGTTTGTACATATCTGTTGTGTGACAATGAACAGGTATATTACATGGGAAATGCAGCAAATGTAAACCTAAAAAAAATGTAAAAAACTTGTATATTCTTGAAAATGTCAATGATATTTAAATAAAATATTTGAACTTCATATGAAGTTCAAGGACAGACACGCTCCAATAACCAGAGGCTCACACTCACTGCTGCAGGAGACACTTGTTCAAAGTGCCGTTCTGTCACAGAGGAAGTGATTAAACACATTCCTCCTCTGCGTTATTAAAAGATCCCACTGAAAGTCTGTGAGAGTCGTCGTTTGACAGGGCAGCCATCGAACCCATTACCTCATCACCAGGCTCCTGACTCTCAGTGCGCCCCCACCCTTTGACTCAGCATCTTTCACTTTTGCGCACAGCGTCGCTCTCTCCTCTGTGTTCCATCTTATTATTACTCTCAGGGAAACTTCTCGACTCACCCGTTGACACAGCCAGTTCCACTGCCTCAGCAAGTGGGGTGATCAACGCCTACTACTACCTGAGGTGCTGGGGCGGGGACATCCCACGAGGCCAGACGCACGTACTGAAAGCATCAGGCCCGGTCTACAGCTCGACTGAGCCGAGGTTTAGACTTATTTATCTGAAGTCCGACTCCCCCGCAGGGTTTGAAAACGTTGTTTCAATCTCATCTCGCTGTTTGTTTCTCTGGAACCAGAGTGAGATGTTTACCACTTAGAAGAAATGTATTCACACAAAGAGGAAAACTAAAATAAACGGGTTGTACTTTTTATCTCGGAGAGACAAGAGTGTAATCTTTCCAACCGTTACCCACACCGATAAACAAATCTTTACTCTGAAAATATTCCTGTTAATGAAGAGTGAGCTGAGGTGGTTTTGTGATTCTGAACCATAGATTGTAGATAATAAATGCTTGCAACTGTGCTGTGTTAACAGTAGATCTGCTGCCACAGGCTCTAGGTCCAGTTGATACATGAAAGAGCTCAGTAAGAGGGGAAAGTACATGTAACTTCCCTTCGTTAGAAAGGTCAGAGTCAAGTTACTGAATCGCATCTTTCGCTTTCTCCATCCTTCCTTCATCCAGCTCTGAAAAAAACAGTGACATCCGTTTTGTATAAATTATATTTTTCTAACGTGACTTTCCACCCATGTGAGAACCAGTTTTTATGGATGTCAATATTAGGCCTAATACTTAAACTACCAACTAAATACTCGTACTTGACTCAAATGTACCAGTTCTGTGACTCGATACTAAAGTGTAACGCGTCTCAACTCCCTCCTGGAGCTCAGGTCCTCAGAGAAATTTTGACATCAGGAGCAAAGACAGAAGCAAGATGTTAGATTTGTTCTGTTGTGACATGACAGATTTTATAGAAAAGCCTGATGAGACTTACATTAAAAGAGGTGGAAAAACCCACCTGAAACGCCTGTATCACACCGCATGATCATATTCATTTGCCCCTAGATGTTCCGGGGAATAAATGGCGTACGGGACAAGTATTTGTTCACTCATTTCTCTCCCCGCTCAACCCAGTTCCAGTGGGACCTCACAGTAGAAATCAAACCACAGAGAGTCTCACAAAGTACCAGAGAGTTCCCCCTCCTGGCTAGCTTTAGCCCAGGCCTCTTCTGTCTTTATTTTGGTCCCAATAAGTCATAGCAGTGATGGTAGTGCCCACACATGCTGATGATAAGCTTGTTTACAAGGGTGATAAGGTGCTAAACTGATTGCTGATAGGATGTCACAGTGCGAGGCCGCCTGAAACGTTCACATTTCCTGACTTCATTTGCATCACCTCAGACACTCTTTTGCTTCATCCATTTTGCATCTGAAGCCCCAATCATCTGACATTAAGTTGCGTGCTATTGCACCATTTACATTGATTCTGTTAATGGAGCGGCGGCTCAGTCCACAGGTATCGCGTTTGGTGTGACCGCTAATGTCTTTTAGATTGAGATCTGACAACAGGACTGAGATTTGTAACAGGAGACAGTGTTTATATTTTTTTCAGTTGAAAAGCACGGGCAAGTATGAAAGCTCCGCTCACTTTCTGTTAGTTGACATTGTCAACTGAGCTTTATTACACTGCGGTCCAGTTTTTTCCTGTGTATCTAAACTCAGTCTAAAGAAGTATGTTCTCTGGTACTCATATTTGTAGAAAATGGTATTGGGACAACACTAGATGACTCTCGAATGTTGACTTACAGTGGCATACTGTCAAGGCCAACTGAGCCTTTTCTGCTGAATATCAGTATCAAAATCAGTAACTTGTTTTTCAATACATTTATCAAAATAATCGTAGAGTACTTTGTCCTCGTCTTTTTGTATCTGTTAGCTTG